GAAATTTTTTATTTCGTGATCCCTGATGATACTAGTATATAGTCCGACTAAAGAAAAAAATTTTCAAGCAAGTTTATTTTGTTGACTTTTTTTAGTCAAACCGTACAATACCAGCGCAATCAGCTCATATATCTAAAAACGCTTAAAAACCTTCCAGGAAAACGTTTAAGTCGGAAAAGTATCCGGAATCAGCACATTCGATTACCTATTGTTCACTAAGTTTTAAGCTAGAAGCGATTTATCACTTGGTGTCCTTTCCTCGTCAGTTTAAAGATGTTGATTGGTGTTTTTTATGCGGAAGAAAAAGGTAAATGCGATATACCCTATCGTAGAAAACAATATAATCATAAAAAGCTTTGTTAGTATAGCTTATCTTGTATGGAAAAAACCAAGTACGTAAAAACACCATTGTTTTCTAGCTTCAAGAAAACTGATGATAGAAATAAGTCATATCTAAAATGACGTAATTTAGTATCAGATATTCGGTAAGCTTAAGGATACGAAAGTAAATGTGATTTATATTTCTATCTTTTTTGCTTATGATGACACATACCTTGAAAAACCGTGCTTCTATGAAAATATCTGTACTGTATATGTAAGCGTATCTTCAACAGTAGAGAAAGCCGGGAAGGATATATGGATCCGAAAATCTGAAAAATCTAAATATATAGAGCAAGGAAAATATACCTCCTGTTTTATGAACTTCTGACACTATTTATACCTACACTATATGTTCCCAGCGAGATAATACTACGTACCAGACCAACGTTTACCGCTTCAAGATACGGTAGAGAACCATTTATCTCCAATTCTGTGCATCTGAGAAAATCGTGGATTTTTAGATGTAAAGTTAAAAGAGATAATAAGCATCATCTTTCTTTCCCTAGTAAATTAATTTTAGATCGACATTTTGTTGCACTGGTTTGTTTCTTTTTTCGTAAAAAATGGCCAACTCTTCATCACTGCGTACAATCAACGAACTTCTTTCTTGTCCAATTACATGTGTCATATTTCACGATCCGGTTTTAGCTGATGACGGGCGCACATATGAGCGTGAAGCTATCGAAAAATGGATTGTACAAAGTGGAACAAGTCCAATAACTCGACAACCATTAAATATTCAAACAATTCGTCCAAATCATGTTGTCAAAGCCTTGGTGGATGAGTTTGAAACAACAATGAAGAAAAAAAACTATCAGTTCAAGTTAGATGTTGATGTTCGAAAAGCATCACGCCAACCGTTGTTCTCGGCATATGGCAAATATGTGTATAAAGCTGAATGGTTAATTAAAAATAATGGACCACAAATTATTCTGATGAAAATTAATGGTGCCCGTGCAGAGGAAGAAGCTAAGTTCTACGTTGAATTAACTCAACATCGACACATTGTTCGTACCTTTGGTTTTGTTGAAGATAATCCACAAAAATCAGCCGACACAAATAATTCTATCATGTTATTGCAAGAATATGCACCAGAAGGAAATCTGTTTGAATTTCTACAAGATCAAGATTCATTACCAAAAGAGACGGTTCTGTGTGAAATATTTGCTCAAATTGCAGATGCAATGGCATTTTTGGCACAAAAAGATATTGTTCATGGTGATCTAGCATGTCGAAATGTGCTCGTATTTCGATTTGATAAGAATGATCCTAGATTTAACATTGTAAAATTAACTGATTTTGGTTTAAGTCGTT